TAACGGATTTATCATTCGGTAGTATTATAATAATAAATTCGTTGCAAATGTAGATTTTGATTTTGATCGAATATCTGGCAATCTGGCAAGCGAGATTATATTTACGCCGATATATATTTCTCGTTCCAAGTTTCCGAATTTGTTGCGGCTGGTCGCGAAAAAATCGACATTTTCAAAGCTGGATCGAAACACGCCAAGATGATTTTTGCATTGCTCGCATATATCGTTACGAGATCACAATTCCGTTCGCAATCGTTCGTGCAAATCGGACATTCGCATCGGTATTTATTTATTTCGTTCTGATTTCGAAAACGTCGATCGGATCGAATCGATCTATTTTCATCGTCCGGATGGAACAATTAGAGCAATGATATTATCAATTAATTAAAAACGTGATATCTCCGGGCAGAAGGAAGGAAAACGCAAAGCGAACAAGAAGGAAAAGATGGATACTGGATGGTAGCCGGGAAATAAATCATCCTCGTTTAAATTGAAACCTGATAAAGGGTTCCCCTCTTCTCTGCCGCGCTGTGGCAAAACTCGTTTTAACTTCTCGCTTAGAGAGTTCTGCGTGGAAAATTTCCTGCGAGAACTCGAGCCGCAATACGGTTCCTTCAGACGCAGATTCGCGCGCGGCTACCTTTTTAATCCGCCATGCGGGGAAAATTTATTTTCAGTCCCCCGCGATGGAAGGGCACGACGTCGTTGGCGACGGTGTGCGCGTTGTTCCAACGGTGGAGGACGCGGTGTGGTGCAGGTGGTGGTGAAGCTGGAGAATCAAAGGCGAGCGGAGAATGACCAATTAGCGTGGCCAGCAGCGGCAGCAACAACGTCGGGTATTACATTAATCAGGGTGAAAAAACGAAATTTTCCCTGAGCGTATTTTCGCGTTAAGGGGGTAACCGCGACTTTCATTTAAGTTACCTAGTGGTAGCCAAACTACCCCCGTAACTCGTTCCCCCCACTCTCAGCCACTCGCTTCGCCCCTTCCAACTATCCTTCTTCTCCTTCTGCTGTTGTCTTCGTTTCGCTAAATAACGACGGGGAGAGAAAACGGAGGAAAAGTGGAGACGCGCGTAGGGAAAAGAGAGTGAGAGGGAGAAGAAAGGGCAGAGAGGATGGGGTGACTGGCTGGGTGCTTCACTTTGTTCATCCCCTCCTTTTGTCATTTTATTCTTTTCGCCTGTTCCTCTTTTCGTTCATTTATCTCCATCTCTCCTTTTTTATCTCGCTCCTTTTTTGGTCGCTGCCACGACCTAGGTAGGTAGATGGGTAGGCTGCGCGAGGGTGGAGGAAGGGCGAAAAGGAAAGGCAAGGTTATTTTAATGAGAATCCAACCCGTTTGCGGCGCCATCTCGTGCCCTCTGCCACGTCTAATGAACGCCCGTGCAAATATTATTTCGGCTTATGTACTTGCCAACTTAGAATGACTTTGGCTCTAATTAATAACGCTAAATGGTTGGGATTCCGAAACTGAAGAGCTGAAATAATCTCTTCGCCCGTGTTCCTTAATCAATACTCGTTCTCTTCTTGATCTAATTAAACGTATGAGAGGGTTGTTTTGTCTCAATGATTATTGAGAATAATTCAATCGATAGAGCTTATTCATTATGATATTTCAATATTTTTGTGTCATCATTATTATATATATATCTCAGAAAATATTTAAATACTTTAAACGTTATTTTAACTCTTATTATTCATTTACCTCGATATTATCTCATAATTGTAATTTTTACTTCGCAGGGAAATAAAATCAAATAAAAAAAAAAAAAAAAAAGAAAAAAAGAATGAAAATTAAAACGAAATACTATTATCATCTTAGACAATTGTTGGCAAATTGACGTATAGCAATCTCAAAATTAGATTTGCAATCTTCGATCTCGTCTCACGAATTGAGCCATCATTCTCGATACGGTATGGTATCCATTTCCATCGTAGCCACCGAATTGTCTTCGGGGATTGTTTGAGCATTCCGCTCCGTTGGTTTGGTGTTTCATTGATCTGCTTGGCCCTAAACTGGTCTTATTCGGTTCCCTTGTCGGTTCTTTACTTTGTCGAGGCAATAAGGTTAGGCAGGCCAGGCATCGAGCGATATTAGACAGACGAGGATGGCTCGGCCAGAATCTAGGTCCTCCTCACCAGCCCACTCTTTCAACCGCTATCTCCTTCCCTCCCCCCACCCCCTTACCTGTCCCTAAACAAATTTAATAAAGCCACGATTTCCG